GTATTTTTTCGACACACCTGTATACGTGGATATTATATATTATGCATTTCTTATTTTATATTATATATTATATATTTTGATAAACGCGAATTATTCTTCAGTTGTGCTACGTCATGTCATACATTGTACATATGCATAAATATTTCACTTGAGCTTCCATGGAGCTCGCTTACTCTTAACATATATCATCTAACTCTGCAATAAACCTGTTAAACCTAACCGAAAGTCGGTCTTATACTAACTCTATGACATATCTAATGCCGTGTGTATTGTATTTTGTTTCGTTATATTTCACTTTTAGAATCCCTAACGAAATGTAAGTACAACACATCAAGACAGACTCATTTCTATATATACATATATTTGGTAAATCAAAGTTTTGATGTTCCAGTAAATGATTTGTCTGACAGTTGTTTGCATATTAATTTTGAACTTTTGCTGGAACTGTCAAGATACGAATGTTATGTTTTACAGTTAGTAACTGTTATATCAAAATATGAATGTTAGTAACTGTTATATGAATATATTATATATAGTGTGTTTCCAATGCAAAAGCTTGTCTCGTTATCGAATACTCGAACCAGGTGTTAAAGCCTTAGTTATAAACTGAGCCAGAACTGTTATATTGTTAAACATAAAAATCTGTTATTCTGTTATACTGAAGAGCTGTTAAAATGTTTACATTTGTGTTATGCTGCTTACTGAGCTTTTCAGTTTGGCCTTAGCCTGAGCTTTCAGCGCGAGCTTTTACTCAATTTTTGCTATTGTTGTTGTTGAGCTTTCACTCCAACTCAATGGCCGCTGCTTACGCTTACATGCGTTGATGTGTGCCATTGTGTTGCATAACAGCACAGTAATAGCAACGGAACTAGGACATCGTATCACATGTTGCATTTCAAACACACTCACTCGCACACACAGCAGCTGCCATTGTGTCTGTGTGTGTGTGTGTGTGTGTGTTTGGCATAGATTTGCGTGTTGTTCGATATTTTGGTTGCTTTTTGAATTCGCATTGTTGCTGTCAGTTGTTGTTTGGGGCATGTTTGGAGTCTCCCCTGACGCCCAGCCCTCCTCCCCCCGCTCCTCCATCGCCTGACTCTTGGAGCTGTCAGTGAGCTATCCAGCATCAATCATAAATTATAATTCACTGACTCACACAATTTAAGCTCTGAATGGTTTCTCTGTACACATTTTTGTTTGACATTTTAGTCCACTTGTAGTTTTTTTTCTGGTTTAAATATTTTATTTTATTATATTTTTAAAAAATATGGGTAAAATGAAATTTGACTGAAATTTAATTCCGCTTTTTTTTTTTTTTTAAATATATTTTGTCTCGTACGTTATTGCTTGTATATGGCTGAAATAATATACTATAATATAATTTATTCCTTTGTGGCATAGTCTTAAATATATGGCATTGAAATGTTTCAACGGAAAATATTGAATATTTTATAGTTGCCATCTATTCAGGGAAAAATACAAAGAGATGAAAATATATATTTTATAGTTCTCTTCTTTGAAGAGTTCTGGGTTATTGGAAATTCTGTTTTAGTTTTTTCTTTCTTTCGCTTAATATTTATAGGTATTAAAATGCATGGAAGAAATTGTCTAGAACTTTACTTGGATTTATTTAGATGCTTTATTACTGTGTGCTTATCGTAATTTGTATACATTTTATATACTACATATTTCTCTATTTTTCAAAAAAAAAAAAAAAAACATCCACAAGATTATTTCTAATATAATGGAACGAATTTATGAGAACTAAAACTGCTTTACGTATAAAACTAGCAATATCAATAAAAATGATTGGAATAGGCAAACATAACTAACCAGTGTTGTTAAAGCTAGACAAAGGCATCACATAGAAATAGAAAGCCATACAAAAATAGCTGGAAATGGCTAAAAATATAGCTAAACATTTATTTATTTTAAGTACCCAAATAAAATTTGCTTTAGACAGACATAAATGGAATGGAAAATCGCAAAACGATTTCAGCTACTCAAGCGTCAGTTTTAGTGTTGATAAACGCTTGAAATGGTGTCACATTTCACAAGATAAACTCCATGCAATTTGACACTAAATCAACAGTAAAAGCAGAGCAGTGTTTCATAACAGTTTGGCTTATCGGTAAAAAGCGCTCTTGGCCAGTGTTGATCAATTTCGCTAGCGCCCCGACGAAACTTAATGAGAAAAAAGTTGATTAGAAAATGGAGTCAAAATGTGAGTGCAGCGGCTGCTGCTGCTGCTGATAAGTGAAAGAAACGCGTTATAGGTGTGGCACAATGTCAACAGGGCGTGGCCGTGCATAGAGAGCATGGGCGGACTGCGGCATAGAAGTCTGCAAGCCGCACTTAATCGGCAACCATGGTAGCCACAATGGGGTGCACCACAGCGTGACAATGCCTGGTTAAAACTAATTTGTGTGTTTGCCCCCCAGGGCTTGGCCCAGTCTTCAAGCACACACACACACACACACACATACAGCTGCACGCACGAGCGCTCTTTA